AAAACATATCTCCCATCATATTATATTAATTTTCCAACAAATGAAAAATTTTATCAAATTATGTCATCAAAAAACAGTAATATAATTAGAAAAGTATGTTTATTTATTTATCATGCATTTAAGAGAAAGGAAAACAAAGAAACACGGGTGTATTAATGAAATGTATTTAAAGTACGGTATTGTCACAGCACGCTTATTTAATTTGTAATAATTTTGTTTTACAAGGGGCCGGAGGCCTAGAGTTTGATGAATAAATTCCCTGTATGGGGAGCATGGACTACAACCTTAAAGAGTATACTAAGAAGTAGTACACTATTGTTTTGCCTGAATGCTAGGAACTGGGCCTTGCTTGAATCTTAATAATATTACTTCGTTTTTGCCAACTTTCTATTGTTGTTTTTGGTAGAAAATTGTTGCCGTTTTTGCTTATTGCCATGTTAGTCATTGCCATTTAACATTTTGACTTGCTGCCGATTTGGTTTATTGCCATTTTGACCCGGATGGCTAAAAAAAAAAGCACTCAAAAGGCTGGTCCTCTTCTTTCTAAACGCAGTCCCAGTTTAAACCATGGACGGAGGTATCCATGTTTAAACGCATGTCCCACCTAGCTAGGACTACATATATTATCTAGGCTAGGCCCCTAGGCCTAGCCTAGGAAAGCAGGCCCTGACTAGGCCTAGGCTCCTAGGTTTCCCTTCTGACTCGAGATGAGGCCTTTTGTGTCTTAGTATTTTTAGTACAGTACTAGTTAGTATATTTAGTAAGCCTACTTCCTCCTTAGATAAGCTAAGAAAAACCTGGGAAAGAATGCCTATTCACCATAGCTAAGCCTAGCCCCTAGGCCTGTCCTGACCGATCTGCTAAAAAAAAAAAAAACCCGTAGGCCTAGGCTAGGAGGCCTACGCATAGTAGTAGTAGGCTCTAGGCCTAGGCCCTAGCCCAGTTACATACTTACTAGGCCCTAGGCCTAGTAAGTAAGTAGTTTAAACTAAAGTTATGTAGTAGACACTAATAAAGTAAACACTTACATACCTTTTAAAAATCAGATTCTCTATATTGGAAAACAATCACATGATATTATATAACTATTACATAGAACATAAACCAGAAATACTCATAATCTAAGTAGTCAGGACAAACACTCAAACCAAAGCGGAAGCTAAGCTGGCCTTTGCCTACGTTTTCCAAGGTTCTATACTGTAGTCTTGCTCTTGAAGAGCAACGCGCAGCAGTCGGCCGCGCATGTAGAACGCCCCCGGGAATAATCTGACCTTTAAACTTTTACTCTAGGAGCTGAGTTGCGTGACGTGTGCACTTTCGCGTGCACTCACTCTTTTCAAAAACAGATGTGTATGGGTGCACGGTTGAAAAAAAGTTTGGTCACGCGATCTGATTTGCGCGCGAAAGGTCTGCCATTTTGAATTTAAAGATGGCCGACGTGCCGTGTTAAATATGGTCATGACATATTATACCATTAAAAAGGTAATTGAACGCTATGATCACTTTTTCCATTACTTAAAAGCATAGTTACAGAGTTATTTGCCGTTGAAAAATATTTTAATGTAGGGCCTATAGGCTATTACTGTATTAGCATGTTAATAACAAATATTTTGACTAAAAATAGAAATACTGTGTTCTGGTTCTTGCAAAGGCACTGAATTTGGTCCACGTGTTGCTCTTACCATACTATTTCGATTTCTGCCTGGCGCTGACAAAGGTGACTCCATTAAGGTAATTTAATTTGCATAATTCAAAATGGCGCCCTTTTAGAATGAACGTTTGAGATCTTTGTATCGACTAGTCGTAGAGAGTTAAATTTGGTGTTAAACTGTTCAGAATATATATATATATAGGCCTATATATAGGCCTATATATATATATACATATATATATATATATATATATATATATATATATATATATATCATGGACAATTTTATCCAAAAATGACCGGAAGTTGCCGTATTAATACGTAGTAATACCCAACATTATTCGGTCAAATGTATGTAGGCCTACGGTTATTAAGACTAATTTTGCAACAAAACAGTGCTCAAAACTAGGAATAGAAGCTATAATCGTATCAGCAACCCTAGTAATAATGTTTAGTGTATATTTCTTTGTTTTATTAGGCCTAATGCATTAACTATTATTTTAATCAATTTATTTATTCTTTTTTACCATATTTTGAATTAAAATTATACAGTTCCTAGGTTGTCATCCGGGGATGCGCGGTTTGGCGCAGGGGGAACGGTTTGCTTTCCCAACCCTGGTTGGGTTTCAATTCCTCACTATGCAAGGCATTGCTTCTCTCCACCACCCAGAAGTCTAAATAGGTACGGTACCTGGTGGGGTTGCCTGCTACTTTGGTGCTTGCAACAACACTTAAAGCATGTGGACCCAATCACGGGAAAGAATTGTGTTATAACAAAAATGTATAGGCGCATTATAAATGTCCCTACCAGTATCAGTACCTGTATAATTTTTACTGGTTCCATTTTCCATAGTCAACAGGGGCGGATACATGATTTAGCAAAAGGGGGGTGGGGGGCGCCAAAGTAAAGATGAATGACAATCCAAGGTACGAAGCACCGAGGGCATAAGCGGATGCAGCCTGCCAGAAAAAGGAGGAGGGAGGTGTAATCTGCGAGCGAAGCGAGCAGCCTTATGCTGGGGGCCAGGGGGCCGCCTAGGGCCCCCGGCGGGGTTCAGGGGCAGAGTCCCTGGTGGGGGTCCAATGGGGCAAAGCCCCGTGAAGCCCAGTACATTTGAGGAATATGAGGTTGTATTGAGTCGATTTTGACTATCTAGCATGATATTTTTCAGTAACAAATAAATATTCAAAAAAATATGTGTATGTCTTTTAAAAGAAATTTTAATATACAGGGTACCTGCAATATGCAACTTTGACATGTGTCATTAAATTAGTAATAATTCATCTACTCACAACCTAAACTTTGACAACATGCAAAGGCTCATAAATGTACACCATTTCAAAAGAGAAATTTCACTTCTAGAAAACATGATGTTTCTCAGCAACATTGAACATAAAATCACAAAATCAGCAAAAAGGAAAACTAATATCCAAAATCTGTTAAAAAAAAGTCTAACAACAAAATCCGCTACTATATATTAACATTGAATAAATTACAAGTGTTCTATTTCTCACCAAGTGGATTTATGAATAGCACTCTACTAGGGTGTTTTTGGTAGGAAAAGAAGACTTAAACACTGTGGGTGTAATTTTTTCTTTGCAAAAAAATAGGGGGGGGGGGGGCGGCGTACGGCAGCGTAAATTCATCTACTCACAACCTAAACTTTGACAACATGCAAAGGCTCATAAATGTACACCATTTCAAAAGAGAAATTTCACTTCTAGAAAACATGATGAAGTTTCTCAGCAACATTGAACATAAAATCACAAAATCAGCAAAAAGGAAAACTAATATCCAAAATCTGTTCAAAAAAAGTCAAACAACAAAATCCGCTACTGTATATTAACATTGAGTAAATTGCAAGTGTTCTATTTCTCACCAAGTGGATTTATGAATAGCACTCTACTAGGGTGTTTTTGGTAGGAAAAGAAGACTTAAACACTGTGGGTGTAATTTTTTCTTTGCAAGAAAAATGGGGGGGGGGGGGCGTACGCCACTTACGCGCCACCCCTCCTAAATCCGCCCCTGGAAATAGGCCCATTGCGCGATATGACATAGAATCAACCTTTCTATGGAATTGTGTATCCATTCAATTATCTCTAAAAAAAAATTATATAAGGGGAGGGGGATGTGGGTGGGGGCACCCCAAATCCGCCTATGGTCAACAGTTTAATAGCTAGCCTGGGTTTTATAGGCACATATTTTGGGTTACTCACTCTTTATTGCGCTTAGTGCGCGCCATACCATACTCGATTTCTTTTTCCCGTCTCTAAATTAACTTTCTCGTTGACGGCGCTGTCCAGAATTGGTAAAGTGTCTTCTCTCCCCCTGTCATGCCTATTATAAGGGAAGTATCCTGTCCACCTAAAAGTGATGGGTGCCCAACCAATATAAGGAATGGAAAGTGACTTACGGACCAATAAGAATAAACTTGTCTCATGATTGATAATAATGAACTTAATTTTAATTTTGATAAATCAAATAATAATTAGTAGGAACTTATAAAACAGGGAAGCACGACTGGAAACTAGGAGATAGCTCAAATAATGGAATTTGAAACTTTGTTTTAAAGAAAGGTAATAGGCTATAAATTGGCTATATCAAATCTCTTAACAATTTCGATAATTGTAAGGTTTATTATGGGAATAAGGCCTACTGGAAGACAATTCCCCGCTCTATGCTATATAATGGTATAGGTGTAAGTTTCGGTTTTCTTCTTTTTATCCGATAGAGCGTTCAGTGCAAATTTCCATCTGCCTACTTTTTAAAGTATATTTTTAATTTTTTATAACGTAATGTATTGTTTGTATAGCGCCTTAAACAATCGATAGATCGTCTCAATGCGCTTAAAGTAAAAATAATAAATGAGAGATTGATTCAAAGTCAACTAAAAACCGATTCTTGAAAACACTCACTACGGTTGACTGACGGATTGATTAGGGTAAGCTCATCTGCAACTGTAAAAGCTCGCTCGGCGACTTGGGGGACAAACAAAACCCATGTACTGGTACAGTAGTCGACCTAAGGGATCTAGTGCAGGTTTAAGGTCTTAGTTATGATGAGAACAGAGATATAGCCTATGTCGGTGTTTGATTATATAACGATTTGTAAGTGATTAGCATCAATTTGAAAATGACGCGCTGTTTGATTGGAAGCCAGTGTAAATGATAAAGAATGGGTGTGATGGGATCAAATCTCAGTGAAGGTGTGTAAATATTTAAAGGATTTTTTAGAATGCACTAGTTTCAGTTGCGTCCTTGGCACATTTCTCCCATCTAAATAGCTCCATGTACCTTCGAATACTAATGAAGCTGCATCACAGGCCGTACGCTTGGGGTGGAGGGGACCTCCCAAATTACAATAGGTCCACATTTCCCAGCGTAGAAAATTCAAGACACAATGCTCCAGAAATCCATCCACCAAAAATGCTTAACCAATCAGAACAGTTTCCAACTTGGACTGCCTCTAATTTGTCGTACAAGCAAGGTCTTCTAAATGTACTTATAAGCTTTTTGAGTAGTTTTAGAGTTTTTTTCCCGCCGTTGCGTGTCGATAACTCGCCACGTACAAAACTCACCTTCTCTCTCTCTATAGGTTTCACTATAGAATTTCCTTTATTCCCGTTTAAGTCTGCGAGTGCCATTTCCAGCCATCTAGAGGTGCCATAATCATAAATGTTCTTTTCCTCAACCCCAACCATGGTGGGGTCAGCTGAGGTAGGTGGACCCTGGCCAATATTTCTGTGAAAGTCCCTCCCTGGACCACCCTTTATTTCTAATTCCTGAATCCGCCACGGCCCCATACAGTATGTTAAAGTCCCTATCTGGCCCGGAAGAGTGTGGACGTATTCGCTTAAAAATAACAACAAAGTGATTTATTGCTTTCCATACCCCGTTCCCAATCAGATCAGTATAGGCTTATTTTATGAATTCTCTATTTTTTATATTTTTGACGTCTACTCATCTCATCCACGACGTAAAGCGCTTGTCATTATTTGTTCATATTCGCAATTTCCATTAATTTCATTTACTTATAATATAACATTTACATTTGTGGTAAAAATTTAGTATTTTCAATACCCAATAATATTATAGGATTTTTTTTCTTGTGCGCTAGACCTACATTTATTTCTTTTATGTTTAAATTGATTAATATTTTATTTACCTTGTTCTATAATTTTACATATCTATTGACATATGCAGTGAAAATCTGAAACACCACGTGGTAGAAACGGCACGTTTCACATCTAGGCTATGTGTACGTAATAATAATAATAATAATAATAATAATAATAATAATAATAATAATAATAATAATAATAATTTATTCGACATTTCACTTTTATAACAGTGGCAACACACAATTAAGTGGTGCAGTCAATCTTAAACTAAGAAAATATAATCAACTTAGACAAGGCTTAACAAAAGTATCTACGAAAACTAAACAAAGGATGAAACAAAAACAATTTGGCCAATTAAATAAAGTAGGAGAAAAAAAATTGCTTGTGTTAAAGAAAGCATAATCAATT